AAATAGGGCCCTGTGGAAAATCAAGACACTCCATTCCCTAGTCGTAATACTTATCACCATAACATACCCACCTGCATTTGGAAGTCTTTGGTATAAATTTTCCAAAGTTAATTGGAACAAGGTGAACATAAATTATAACTGGTGGCTGACTAGTGGCAGTGCATTCCTTATGGAAATTTTCAGTGACTAGTCAGCCACTAGTTGGTAACTTGTTCCAATTAGGCACTAGCTGACGTCACACACAACCTCATATTCGACTTTCGATGAGGGGACAAACAAAGCATTTGAAGGTCTATTTTTACATAAAGGCGCTAGCTATTTTTTTTTTTTTTTACGGATATGCGCACTCGCAAGGAAATGTCCTATCACGCTCGAGAAGCGGCAAGTGCGCGGAAATGTCGGTGTATGTTGGTCTTGAAACGGTTCAGGTTGTAACCTGCAGGGAAAACCGTCGCAGGGAGTTTATTCCACAGCGATGCTGTTCTCCAGAGATATGAATTCTGATATAATGAGGTTCTTGGTGCCTCTAGTTTGACAGTAAATTCATGGTTACCGTCTGTTTGACGGGTTCGCCTGGTAGGCGCTACTCTCGGTGGAATCATACGTGCCAACTCTTCAGAGCATTTTCCGTGATAGTACCTGTAGAAGAGAGATAAATCGCCCACAGATCTGCGATGTTCGAGACCATCCAAGTTACGAGTAAGTGCGGGGTCATTGATCAGCTTGATAGCTCGTTTTTGCACGATGTTCAAGAGCATTAAGGTATGTTTGGGTGCTGTACTCCATATATGTGAGCAGTACTCCATAGTTTGTCGAATCTGGGCTTTGTAGAGTGTCAGCAATTGGCTTGGTGTGTACAGAGTTCTTGTACGAAATAGCACCTCCAGCTTTTGGGACGCTTTTTTAGCAATATCTGCCACGTGACTGTGCCAAGACATGTTGGTCTCTGCAGTAGCCCCCAAGATGTTCAACTGACTCTGTAATGTGACAGCACTTCCAGATAGCATGATGTTTGGCTCACCGGTGCTGGTCTTTTTTGAAAACAGAGCTGCTTAACGTCAAAAATCAAATAACGTCACTTTCGATAGGGGGACAAAAATGTCATTGTGAGGTTATGTGTGTGACGTCAGCTAGTGCCTAAAACAAAGCAGAAGTATTTAGGAAATATGAAAAATTATGCGATCTTATGATGGATGTGTAAAGAGTTAAAACATTATGTGTGAGCCTACACATTCACTGCACTAAACTTTCTATTTATGTTATCAGGAGATCGGGGTTTATTTTCATTTTTCAGGAGTTTTTCAAAGGTCAGCTTATTTCTTTATTAGAAGTAGTTTTATTTTGAGAAATTCGTAAAAAGTTTTACTTGAATCTTGAATGACAGAACTATAAGGCGGCCTGCGGCCGCCCCTTGATTTGGCCGCCCGCGTGCGGGGCACGCGCTGCACACCTGCTAGGATCGGCCCTGATTGAACGTTATTGCCTACAGTGGCGTGCAGAAAAAATTTGCTAACGGAATTTATACATTATACTATGCTTACAGCTTATTGAACAAATTCAAGTTACAACTCTTAATACAAGGGTGTATTCCAATGGCGTAATACCAAGAGTATTTTCTAGTTTGGTAAGAAGAACTTAAAAATTGGTATTTTTCAAAATGCTATATGATGCTTGCAAATACTGCTGTTAATCTTTTATCTGGAATTTGTTATCTTTTTTATTCAGCATTGGCGTACCAGCTTGGATAAAAGGGTCTTTTGTTGGATAACTTCTCACAATAAATGTCTTTCGGCTCGACTTCGTTTTTTTTTTTTTATGGTTACTTACTTGTTGCTACATAGGTACATATAAGCATTATTCTTATTCTTATTTTATTTGACATTTAAAAAATCTTAGACAATTATTGGACATGTATATATAGGGTATTCCATTAAGAGGTTTCGAATGTTTTGTTTTGCTACTCTTCTTATCTCAAACTTTGTTATTCGGTTTTTATTTCATTGTGGGATTCAGTACAATTTCAGCAATGGAGCGCTACACAGTAGAACAACGTGTTTACATTGTTAAAACGTATTTTCAAAATTGGTCTTCTGTGAGAGCCACATTTCGGCAAATTCGTGAATACTTTGGTGTACGCAATCGTCCGTCAGAAGTAAGCATTCGCAAAATAGTGCGTAGATTCGAAACTACCGAATCTGTGCACGATGTCCAAACAAAAGTCCGGGAACGTCCTGCTCGTTCGGTTGAAAATATTCAGGCGGTTGTGAAAGTGTGGCTCAAAATCCACAAATGTCTGTTGAAAGGCGCGCGCAACATTTGGGTATCAGCATAACTTCAACATGGCGAATTTTGAAAAAAGATTCAACTACATCCTTACAAAATTCAACTAACACAGGAGCTAGAACCAGCCGATCATGAGCAACGCCGTGCATTTGCCAATTGGATCCTATAGGTGAAAGCAAATGACAATCATTTTTGCAATAAAATAATTTTCAGTGACGAGGCTCATTTTCACTTGAACGATTACGTAAATAAGCAAAATTGTCCGCATCTGGGGCAATGAAAATCTTAGACAAATCCACGAAATCGCGCTGCATGCTCAACGTGTCATAGTTTGGTGCGCTTTTTGGGCCGAGGGTATCATTGGACCGTATTTTTTTGAAGATGAAGACGAACAAGCTGTTACAGTAGACGGAGAACGTTACCAAACGATGATTGATGTTCTTTTATGGGAACAAATAATGAACATGGATATAGAGAATATGTGGTTCCAACAAGATGGTGCGACATGTCATACAGCACGTGAAACAGTAACTTTATTGCGTACACAGTTTAGAGGGAGGCTTATCTCCTGGAATAGGAACGTAAATTGGCCACCAAGGTCATGCGACTTGACGCCGCTAGATTATTTTTTGTGGGGCTATGTGAAGAGCAAAGCTTACGAAAATAATCCGCAAACCATTCAACATTTGAAAGAAGAGATTAGGCGTATAATTCGTGACATAACTCCACAAATCAAATGTGTTCAGCAGTAGTGGAAAACTTCTTCAACAAAAGAACAGTGTGCTGCCAGAGAAGTCTTGGTGGTCATTTGGCAGATATTGTAATCTACGTATAATTGTACACTGTCCAGCTACGAACTACCATAAATAACATTTAGGTATGTTATGAAACTTTTATTTTATACGTTACCAACATTCGAAACCTCTTATTGGAATACCCTTTATCTAATGCCCCATGCCATGTGATTTGGCGTTGGGAGGTTGATTGGGCTTGACTGCTAGAGCTAAATTCCATTTATATTTTTTAAGATTTTTTGCTGTTTCGCCGTGTGCTGGGCAACCACTGGGTAAACGTTTAGAAGGTATCTACAAGTGTATCGCGCAGCAATAACGCTATCTCTTACAACACTGACTATTGTGTGTAAGTCGGTCTCCATTACTTTTCAGGAGAACAGTCAATTGCAGTTTTTTTTTTTTTTTTTAAGAAGCTACCCATGAAAGAAGAAAATTCGAGGTCGAGCCGAAAGACATTATTGCGGGACGTTATTCAAAGAAGGACCCTTTCATCCAAGCGGGTACGCCAATGCTAAATAACTAAGTTAAAAAATTCTAGATGAAAGATGAACAGCAGTGTAGACCAGCATTATAGCATTTTGAAAAATACCAATTTTTAAGTTCTTCCCACCAAACCAAAAGATGCTCTTAGTGTTACGCCACTGGCATATACTCCTGTATCTTGACTATTAAGAATAGTAACTTGGATTTGTTGATTAAGCTGTTTAATTGCATAGTATAATTTAATTTTTAAAGTCGGTTTTAATTACATAATCAGGTCTATGATGTATCATTTTCTGTTATTTTAACCGCAACATTAAGATATCTGTCACTGTTTAATGTGTGAAAATAGAGGTATAGATTTTGAACTATAACACAACTGTTAAAATAACATGAGAGGATACCTACATCATAGGGCTGAATCTCAAAAGCCAATTTTATTCTGCACGCCACTGTAGGCAATTTTGGTTCAATGAATGCTTCAATCTTTCCTCGGGGCCAAGAAATTCCACTTGATGCAAAGGTATGAGAAAAAATACCCATTCTCACGCGAAACCCCGAAAAAGTCGCTTTTTTAGGGATAAATGTAACCCTTTTTTAAAAATTCGATAATTTGCGTTATAGCCAACTTTCGAAAAATTTGAGAACTTACTTTTTTTGGGATAATCCAAAGATCAAAAAGATGTATATAAAAATTTCCGAGATCAGAAATTGAGAATCTGGCATAGCCCCAAACTTTGCCAAAAAAAACATGACTTCCTTTACTCACCCTGTATAAGTAAAAAATGAAAGAAATATACCGGTCAAACCTTGTGCGTGTTCTCAAAGAGTTGGTCAAGAACCTCTTGAATACCGCAACTCGATATCTGTTTCCGTTCTGCAAATATCGAGATTTGAATTTGGGTAAAATTTTCCATGTTGCAAAGCAACTGTCCACCAGTTTAGATATGATAGTCGTCGATGTGGCATTCACCTGATTCCGCTGACTCCCAAAATTTTGATATCAAATCATATCACTCCATTTCTTTGATGTCATTATTCACTTTTCCAGTATGAAATATACTTTGTATATTCCACCAAGCAGCAATCTCCGACTGGACCCTCTTTACTTTTGGAACTAACATCGCAACTACGATAGAAATTACTATTGCACACTCTCCTTTCTTGTGCTTTTTTTTTTGGTCGGTAATTACATGTATACATGTTCTTATTATTTATTCATTTCCATGCTTGAGGAATGTCACTAATGAACTATAATATGATAAACGCATTAAGAACAATGAAAACGATCCAGGCATACTGCATAGCATGATAAAAATAACTCCGACCCTGCCAGGATCCGAACATTCGTAGTCAGACATCCGTTACGCCATAAAGGCCTCTGTGTTTTTTAAGAAGACTACTGCTGTCTATTTATGTAACATTTCCTAATTATTATTTCAGCTCTTTCAATCAGACCAACCACTACCAGCAAAGCCATCTAGGACCAATCAAAGAGCACACAGTCCTAACTCTGGATAGTCAAACAGGAAACGTTTTAGGCAAATGGGGTGCCGGTATGTTTTACATGCCTCATGGATTGACTATCGACAGACATGATAACCTTTGGATAACCGATGTTGGATTACATCAGGCTTTTAAGGTAAGTAGTTTTAAATACTTAAATAAAATATTTTCATTGAGAAAAAATAAAATAAAAATTAGATAGGTAGATATTATTATCTTTATCAGAGCAGTATAAACTGAATTTCTAAAATTCGTAGCTACCTATACTACCAAAATAGAAGAAAGAAAAAGTTAGAGTCCTCTGAAAAGTAAAAATAATACGATACATATTATTTACAATGTATCCCTTATTATCAATGTAATATAAGCAAAACACTATTGACCAAACTGAAATATATATGAAACCAAAATTGAGGATTTAATATCAATTTATATACAGGGTGTCCCAGCCGAGAGTGACCCATTTTAAATGCTTATAACTTTTAAACCAGATGTGCTAGCTACCTGCGGTTTGCGCCATTCGATTTCTCTTGGCCTGAAGTTTTTTCTAGTAGTTTTTCAACATCGAAATTCTCCATTATTTTTAATGGAACGCCCTGTATATCACAACGTCAAAAAAAAAAGATTCATGTTCAAGGTATCCATGTACGAAGAGATATCGTCCCTAAAATTTGAAGTTTTAGCCGTAAAAAATCAATATCAAAATCTTGGTATTTCTGCAAACGCATGCATATTTTCAAAGGTTGGTACTTATGTTTGCCTAATGAAAAATTAATAAAAACTGCATAAAACTATACAAAATGCTGTACTTATATGTATGTATATGTTAGCCATTCTGTTCCAGTCCAGGCATTTATGGATCAAATGATTGAATGAATTGTGTAACATTTCATGGAGAATTGCTTCAATGACATTACAAATGTTCCGCGTAAGATCTTCCGCATCTTTCCTTGACATAACCCTAGAGAAAAAAGTCTAGAATTCTCAAGTCAGGAGAGTAAGGTGTCCATTCCATAGGACCAGCTCTCCTTATGCGTCTTTCTCCAAATGTCATATCTAGTGATTCCCTTGCTATTAAAGAATAATGAGGTGGGGGCACCATCTTGCTGAAAATAGATATCATCAAATCCAAGATACTCTCTCCTGTCTTAACTGTGGGGAAACATATCAGTGTATACAGTTTCTGTTATAGGTTCATTAATGAAAATGGTCTGTATTTTTTTCTCAATAGAGATTGAACACCAAATTTTTACTGTTGGCGTACTGTTCTCTATTTAACGGGTTCCAGAGAAAATACTCCGGAACTTGTTAAGTTTTCCTCAAAAATGTATTTTAACTTGATTGATATCTAACTAAACAGTTACAAAATTGTTTGCCATAGTGATATCCAGTAAACTTTGTTTCACCAGGGTTCATAAATTTGACATAATTTGCCTTCCTTTTTAACAAATAGAAATTGACTGAAACAAATCAATGACGTCAAAAACGTTCGTTGGTTCTTGAACCAGAAGTCATTCATCTATGTCATTCATTTCAATTTGTCAAAAAAATTGAATGTGTCATATTAATTTATCTAGGACAACCCTTTTTTTTCAAGTTTCAAGGTCAAGTATGAACCCTGGTGAAACGATCTGTACCTACAACATGAAGTTGCATGCATTTGCAAAAATACCAAGATTTCGATTTTGATTTTTTACGACTAAAACTTCAAGTTTTAGGAACGATGTCTATTGGTACATGAATACCTTGAACATGAATCTTTTTTTTTTGACGATGTGAAAAACGGACTTTTTTTCAATCGCCCTGTATAAGTTTCAAAAAAATTTGCAACCTACTGAAAAAAACTTTAGGCCAAGAGAAATCGAATGACACAAACCGCAGGTAGCTAGCACACCTGGTTTAAAAGTTATAAGCATTGAAAATGGGTCACTCTCGGCTGAGACACCCTGTATTGTAAACACACTGGATACTTACATTAATGAACAACTAAAAAAAAAAATTGAGGCGCCAAGATTATCCCATCAAGATTTTAAACCCAGAGGTGTTCAAGATTTGGGAAAAAGTGCTATTGAAAAATTGGCATGAAAACACGTAGAAACCATACCCAAGTACATATTATGTCACAAGGCTCTATATGTAAAATGTATTATGTGTTTTCAAACTCATCATAAGAAGCGTTTTAGTAGGTACCTTAAGTAGCCTAAAGTGTCCTAAGCCAGAGATTTTCAAACTCTATAGGAAGTTCGCACCGCTATTGAATGAATCTCATTTTTATATATTTCTACCTACTTTAATTTTTCTTCTAGTATAAACCTGGAGAACTGGTACCTACAATCAGCTTCGGTGAACGTTTTATCCCTGGAGCAAGATCCGACTCAAAGCACTTATGCAAACCTACCTCGATTGCCGTAGCAACCACTGGTGAAATATTCATTGCTGACGGTTACTGTAATAGTAGAATACTCAAATATAATGCTGCTGGCGTGTTGTTAAGGATTATTCCAAATCCACCAGGTAATAAAAGTTGATTCAAACATGTAAATGACTCACTAGTTCTTTTTTCAGAGTTCCTATCACTCCAAGTTCCTCACTCGCTCGCGCTCATCGAATCTATGGACCGACTATGTATAGCGGATAGAGAAAACATGAGAGTGGTTTGTCCTAGAGCTGGGCTCTATAGTCTGCAAGGGAAAAAAGAACCTGCTCTGACTATTCAGCAACCTGATATGGGAAGAGTTTTTGGGGTTGCTGCAAAAGGTAAGAACATTGTTGAATATCGTTCAATGTGTATTTTAAATTTTCTTCCTACTCGTTTCATTTATTTTTGATAGAGCATCCAGCCATACTTTTTATTTAACTATTATTCATCTATAGACAAAAGTCAATCTAAGATATCGTGAAATTGAGACAGCATGTTTTAAACTAACACTGACTAGAAAAGAAACCTGTCCTATTGATTTTGGGAGGGACAACAAATTGGCATCCACTCTACCAATATCTAATTACCAATTATTCTTAGAAGAACGGCCGATGAAACTGAAACCACTGCTAACAGAACTAGAATATTTTAAATGGGTCATCGTTGATCTTTTCAAATTCAGCCGACAATCCTGTGAGGCGACTTCAATGCCGAAACAAAATTGAATTGGAATCATATTACCTTATAAGGATTCCTGCTGCAAAATAACGTAACCCTTCCTCAAATATAGTTTGTTTTTTTTTTTTTTTTTTTTTTCAAAAAAAAACCATACGAGATCGAAGCGAGCGGTCAATTTTGAGCCATAGGATAGGTACTCGACTAACCAGTGCTCAGAGATGCTACCCAGGTATTATTGTAGAAAGGACAGTGGCGGATCCAGAGGTGCTTTTCGGGGGGGAGGCACTTAACCTGAGATCGTAGTTATCTAGTACTTAGCCGCCGGAGGCTAATTGCCGAAAGCGAGAAATTTTAGGGTGCCACGCCCCTTTTTTGGGGCCTTTAACGATATTTAAGCCGTTTTCTCGCGTTCATTTTTTTGAAACTAGTTCAAAACTGTTTTGAAACAGTACATTCTCGCGATAAGCCCATGACGTCACGGTAAAATTAGTTCAAACCGTTTCGAAATACAATCCAATCCACGTTTTCAAACCATTTTCTCGCGTCGAGAAACTATGACGTTATGGTGACATTACTTAAACCAGTTTTGAAAAATGTTTTGAAACATTTGAGACGCGCGAAAATGCCTTTAATATCAATATTTGGTTGTCCAGGGCTATTTTTTATATTTTCCCACCCCTTAACTTTTTTGTGCCACTGTGTATTAAAAAAATGTGAATAGGAAAAGTGTATAGGTTCAGGTTGAAAAATAGTTTCCAGAAAACATAGTTTTGTTTATACAGGGTGTTGCAGAAAGTTTAAAAAACGAAAAAATATACATATATTTGTTTTTATGGGACACCCTGTATATTAAGTATTAAATATTCGGATTCTACGTAAAACTCTGAGCAGATTTCATGTGATATACACTATACCTAAGTTCAACGGTTTTGGAAATATTGACAGTTGAAATTTGACTTTTTTGCAACTTTGACAGGCTGTAAAACCTAAACGGTTAATTTTTAAGCAAAACCGATTTTACATTCACATCTTAGATTTTCATAAACTATCATTTGACACAAACTTTGAATTTAATCCATGAATAAAAATTTCAATTGAATTTATTCTCCGGTTAAAGTCAACGTTGGTGTCAAAGGATAGGTTATGAAACGCTGAAAATGAGAATGTGAAATCAGTTTTACTGTAAAATTAACCGTTTAGGTTTTACCTTTGAATATAAAACCACAGGAAGGAGCGTTTTCTATCTGTCACTACAGATAACGCAGGGACGGAAACGGCCATATTGAGCCGCCAAGTATGACTCATAATTTGTTTTGGTGGTTTGCTGTGTCCTCATTTAAGTGTATGTTTAATGGATTTTAGCGGTTTTGAGTGATAATAAGCACTGGGATTAGCCCGAAAAGAGTGATTCATAATAATGACAATCATATTTAAATAGATATGCGCCACCATTACGCCACTGCCAAACCGGAAACACTAGTCGGCCATATGCAACCTCCACATATTCTGGTCGCGCAGATTCGAGGTTATGCTCCTTCATGTAGTTTTATATTCAAAGGGTTTTACAATCTGTCAAAGTTGCCAAAAAAAAAGGTATAGTGTATATCACATGAAATCTGCTCAGAATTTTACGTGGAATCCGAATATTCAATAATATACAAGCTTTACATCTTTCTTATTTACATTTTTTCTATACACACTGGCAAGGTTGTTTGAGAGAGGTGGGTTGCCTGATAACTGTATGACGTCATCTGGGGTGCCTTATCATATTGCAAATCTCCATAAGGCACCCCAGATGCGTCATCAAGTTACCCATTACCAGGCAACCTATTAACTTAAGGAACCTTGACTCACTGGCACAAAAAAGTTAAGGGGGGTGGGAAAATATCAAAAAAATTCTCTATACTTAGGTATAAAATACCTGCTTATTGCGAAGGAATATAGTATCAGACTTATTCTAAGAAAAGAAACTCAATACATAGGTAAACATAGATATCAAAGTATCAAAATTTACAATTCTATACTGCATCAATCCCAAAATCAATAGCCGCCATCAAATTACAACCGACAGGCAGTCAGAATCACCCAATCAGTTGAAATAATCTTAAAAGCCTGAGAGAAAATGTTACTATTCAAAAGAATATATTTTTATGCGTGCGGAAAACACTTTCTAGAGATTTTTTCATAACATAAAAAATTCTCCACGGGGGGGGGGGGGGGGCACTTGCCCCCAGTGCCCCCCCCCTGGATCCGCCACTGAGAAAGGATGGATTTGGCTTCGAAGATAACCGAAAACAATAAAGCGCAATAAAGTTGACGACAATGCTATAGCTGATGCAATATAAAAACATCAGCTAAATCGTACATCGTACATCCCCGATGACAAAATTGGACAGTTCCATCATGTTCTCACTTCACAGAAAGAAAAAGATATAGCCAAACATAAAAGCTGTAGTCGAGAACACGATCAAACAAAACATCACAGGCTTTCGTTAATCTTTATGGACTCAATGAGGCATTAAACACAATTCAACTGGACGCTATTCCTCGGAGAATTCATTCACTGCAGTTCTGGAAACTGGAGAATACATTCAAGAATTTGAACTGGAACGTCTTGAACCAGGGAGGCTTAGAAATTATTTATTTATTGTGATAACCTTGCGGTGATACGAATCTGATGATGCAGCAGTTGCAAGAAGCACCCAAAGGATGTTGGTCTGAACTGCCCAATGTGATCAAGAAAAAGACCGAGATGATAAGCAGTAAGCGTACATACACTAAGGGCTATGGAATACGCGTTTCAAGGGACACTCTGATATGTGGAATGGGGAGAAGGATCACTTTCTCTATGGTTTCATGACTCTTCTGCTGCATATGTATGAAAAACAAATTCAAGAGTTATGTTCCATATTGTCATGCCATCTCTGGTCATGACTTTCTCTAAAGCCTACCCATATAGCACAAAATATTTTTGGGATATTTTTTTTTGATCCAACAATGGATATTTTTTGAACAAAGCTAATAAAATATTTTTAGAGGATTCAAACAACATTTGTGACCACACATTGGTTTGGAAATGTTCAAAAAATGTTTTTAAAATGTACTCAAAAAATACATTAGTTTTACAAACATATCCAAAATAATATTATTAAATGGATATTTTTTGAACATCAGAAAAACATAATAAAAGAAATATTTTTTCCCCCACATTTGCTGAACATTTTTAAAACATTCGGTCTCTAAAGTCTGGCTCGAGACTTAGGGCAAGTATTATAAAACTATTTTAACAGACCAACTAAAAGTTAACTTTTGGAATGACAAATTGTGCGATTGTTTTGGACCGTTCTAGAACCATCCTTTTTTCGAACCAAATCAAAGCTTTTCATTTGATTTAAAAACTTGTCCTTGTTTGCTTTTTCTAGGCGCCATATCTACCTGCTCTGCTACCGATTGAATTAATTCGCAGTGTTAGTAACCATTGTAACGGTAAAGTAAAAATGGCCATACCTGGGGTAGTAGGTACTTTCGAATATTCTCGCATGCGAAATTGGATAAGATTTCGAATGCTTCCCATTTAATTTACATTGTTGTCAATAAAATTTCGTGTACGAAATTTACTCGAATGAATTCGAAAATACGACGGAGTGGTTCTGGTTACGGAACGTTTACCGGAAAAACTAAGAATCTACGGAACGTCCCCTAAGTTGATACTTTTATTCGGTAAGAATGACGCGTAGAAAATAGAGGGATTAATGTTGGGTTTGACCGTCGAAAATCATATGAAGAATGAATCTGCAGAAGAAATGGCGTCAATGATGGACTCTAGGTTATCTCAAAACCTTATAGATGATAGTGATGAGCTAAAATGACAGATGCGTCAAAAAACGCCTGAAATGGAGATAGACCACGTGCAGACATACGTATCAGAGAAGGACCACTTGAACGCTGGACTGACGAAATCATAATGAGTATCAAGCAACTGAATCCAAACACAGAACAGAATGAATAAAAATTAAATAATAGGCGTATGTATTACATTGACTCATAGCATTGATGGATAGGGATAAATAACCATCAATATAAAAAAAAAATAAAAAAAAGTATCGCCCCCGGGTGGGCTCGAACCACCAACCTTTCGGTTAACAGCCGAACGCGCTAGCCAATTGCGCCACGGAGGCTATATTAGACTATTCTGCTAATGCCATTCCATTGTAATAGCTGTAACGAATAATATTTTATCTTTACAAAATTCCTATCTTGTTTACTACTTAGTAAATTAGAAATTAGTGCTTTAAACATCACGATAAAACTGAAATGATATTTAAAATAAATAAATATCATGTCTTCATAGTTCATTTGAAGGAAAGTAGTACCCATTTATTCAATTTCCATGAGCATTATTATATGGTAGGTATGGTACCAAATTTAACGAGCATAATTTGCTATTGTATAGTCCTGAAGATGATCTCATCTCATATCATATTATCCAACTAAAATATTGAATAAGATATGGGTATGTAGGTATACCCTGAGGTCACCAAATGAAATCAAACTCATATTGAAAATAAGCAAGAATATGGCGGCGGAGGCGTGACTTACTTCTAAATTCCTATTTAAAATTAGCAAGAATATGGCGGCGGGACCTCTATTCTCGCCACTG